CCCAGGGACATGGAAACAGCCTCAATGTCATACTCCCACCTGACCCACCCAAACACACCAAAAGTGTGCTTTATCAGTCTCCTAGACATCCTTCAGGCCAATCAAGTTGACATTAACTATCACAATTTCTTTCCTTTTTATTTTGTGGTGTTGGCAATGGGAATCGTGTTAGGCAAGCATTGAGGGTCAGCCCCAGCCGTGGAAGTTCTGTTTGTTGCTAGTACACAGAAGAAATACAATGGATGCTGTATGTTAATCTTACATCTGTAACTCTGTAACCTATTAGGTTTTTTGCTGTTTCAGATTTCTATACAAATGATCATGCCATGTGTAAATAAAGAACAACTTTCTTTCAGCTGGGCATGGTGGTGCATGCCTGTAATCCCAGCACTCGGGAGGCTGAGGCAGGAGGATCGTTGAGTTCGAGACCAGCCTGGGCTACATAGTGAGTTTCAGAACAGTCTCAACTACATAGTGAGACCTTGTCTCAAAAAAACAAAAACAAAAAAACTTTCTTTCTAATCTGCCTTTTATTCCTTTTCCTTTCTTTATAGCAATGGCCACAACATCCAATTCAAAGTTGAATGTTGAATAGTAGTGGGAGCAAACTGGCTTTATTTCTGATCTTATATGGAGACAACATTTAGACCTTCATGAAGTAAATGTTTAAAATTCGTATGTTGAAGCCCTATCCCCTAGTGTAATTGTATCTGGAGACAGGATTTCTAAGGAGGTAATTAAGGTTAAGTGAGGTCACAGAGTAGGGCCCTGACCCAATAGGATTAATGTCTACATACTATCAGGCTCAAGAAAAAAACACTACATGTAACATTACACTCCACTTAATAATCTGCTTTTCACAAAGGTATATCACTTAGCAACTATGTACAGAGTCATCCATCCCTCAGGATCCACGGGAATTGTGGTATCCCTGGATGCACAAGTCCCATGTATAAGATAGCACATTTGCATGTAACCTATGCACAACCACCTGTAGACACTTCAAATCCTCTCCAAATCAAAATACCTAATGCAATGTAAATGCTATGAAAATTGTTATTACACTGATTATTTGGAAATAATGGCAAGAAATACCTATACATTTTCAGCAGAGATAGTTTTTTTCTCTGATATTTTCAAATTGTGGTTGGTTGAAATCATGGATGTGGAACCCATGACTATGGAGAGCTGATGATACTAGGATAAGCAGACAAATAAGTACACTGTAAATAAGGAGAGCTAGAGTTTTTACTGTTGAACAAAGAGTTACATTATAAATAAGGCAAGAAGAGGAAAATTAGACCTGTAATGTTGGATTACAATTCGAAATTTTAAAAACTCGTAAATATATAACTGAGATTGCAAAGGCTAAGCTGGCAAGATAAATGCAAAGTGGGATGCTAAAATAATTCTGGATCAGAAAGAAAAATTAGCAGGATACTTAGCAAAATCTGAATAATGTCTGTAAATTAGTTAATAATGCTGTATAGATGTTAATTTTCTGTATTAGACCATGTCCTATATAAAATGTTTGTTTTTGGTACCAGGGATCAAACTTGGGACCTTGCACTTGCAAGGCAGGTGGCAGAACCACTGAGCTAAATTAATCCCTGGCTGTCCTATATAAAATGGTAATCAGTAGGGGCAGCTGAATTGAAGAGCATAAAAGAGCTCTGTATATTGCTTCTATATTTTAAACAGCTTGACAGACATAGTCTACCCATCAGCAGTTCCCTCCCTCCCTTAGACCCAGTAACTATTAATCTATTTTTTATCTCTATACAGATGCCTGAACATTCCATATGAATGAAATTATACAATATTTGGCTTTTGTGGATGGGTTTCTTTCACCTAGTTTGACATAAGAAATACATATTTTGCCTTTGTTCCTGGCCCCAGCACAGAGTTTTTTGTTTTACTTATTTATTTAGCAGAGCTGGAGAATGAACCCAGGGCCTCACACATACTAGGTAAGGGCTCTGCCACTGAGCTACACCCACGGTCCTGACTGTATCTTTATAGAAGGGGAAATTTAGATATGGAGGCAGAGCTTGCATAGACGAAAGACAATATGAAAACACAGGGAGGATGCCATTTACCAGACCAAAAAAAAATTGCCTAAGACTACAAGGAGAGAGAGAGAGAGAGAAGATTCTCCTTCACAGTCCTCAGAAGGAACCAATTCTGCCAATACTTTTTTGTACCAGGGATTGAACTCAGGTCCTTGTGCTTGTGAGGCAGGCGGTGGAACCACTGAGCTAAATCCCCATCCCCTCTGAATACTTTTATTTTAGACTTCTGGTCTCCAGAGCTGTGAAACAGTCAATTTCTGTTTGTTTTTTTGGTACTAGGGATTGAACTGGGGTCCTTGCACTTGCAAGCTAGGCTCCGGAACCACTGAGCTAAATCCCCAGCCCTCAATTTCTGTTTAAGTCACCCAGTTTGTGCTATGCTATAGCATCCCCAGAAATCTGATACATCCACGTTGTAGCACATATCAGTACTTTATTTTGAAAAAGACTCCATTGTGTGGTATATCACTTTTTGTTTATATGTTGAACATCTGGGTTGTTGTGACCTTCTGACTAGTATGAATAATGCTACTATAAATATTTGTGGCCACTAATTTGTAACAGCTAAATTTTAGAAAAAGCCCAAATGCCCATCAACTGATGAATGGATAAATAACATATGGGTTTTTTTTTTTATACAACGGAGTACTACTCTGCTATAAAGGATGAACTTGAGGCATTGATAGCTAAATGGATGCACCTTGAGACCATACTCTTAAGTGCAATAAATCGGACACACATTTAAATACTAGTTTCTGTAGTGTGAGAAATCAAAAGTGAAAATAAGGACTAAAATGTACAATAGACACTGGGAAATGGGAATAAAATGTTCAAATGAGAAGGGGAACAAGGAAGGGGGAAAGAAAAGAAGGGACAAGAAAAAAAAATCAAAGGAAAAAATGGAAACAAAGCTTTTATACATGGGGGGATGGGGGAAAAAAGCAAGATATACCATACTGGTATAAATTCCCTATGATGAATGTTAACATATATATCTAAAATGTATCAATAAATCTTTTGCTAAATAAGTATTTGTGGCCAAGTATCTAGGCATATTTTAATCTCTTGGGTATATACCTAAGAATGCAACTGCTGTGTTGTACAATAACTCTGTTTAGCCTTTTTTTTTTTTTTTTTTTTTTTTTTTTGAGACAGCGTCTCACTACCTAGTTGAGACTGACCTGGAACTCACTAGGTAGCCCAGGCTGGTCTTAGACTCAGAGTGATCTTCCTGCCTCAGCCTCCCAAGTGCTGGGATTACAGGCATGCGCCACCATGCCTGGCTCTATGTTTAGCTTTTTGAGGAACTACCAAACCATTTTCCAACTACCAAAACCATTTTACCTTCCCTCCACAATGTACAAAGCTTCCAACTTTTCCACTTTTTTTTTTTTTTTTTTGAGACAGGGTCTTGCTGTGTTGCCAAGGGCTGTTCTGGAGCTATTTTTCCACTTCTACTTCCCAAGTAGCTAGGATGACAGACATGCACCATCACAACTAGCTGAGGTTTATATTCTTACACAAATATACAAACAGTTGTAAAACTTTCTGATCACCTGTTCCATGAGAACAGAGCCATTAAACAATGTGGGAAAGGATGGCCCATGGACTAAGAGGAATTTCTGTTACTACTTTTTTTTTTTGAGCCAGGGTGTTACTATGTTGCCCAGGCTGGGGATTCTCTTGCCTCATTCTCTGGAGTAGTTGGGATTACAAGCATGTGCCACTTCACCTGGTTGGTAATTCATGCTGTAGATGTGACAACCTCAGGGAAGGTGCTATATTGTCCAGTGCTTGAGTTGGCTTTGGGAAGGAGAGCACCAAGATGGAGAGCAGGTAGCCAAGAGTAAAGGAATGTAAACGGGAGAACGAATAGAAATCCTTTACAATCTGCTAGGCTGCAGGTTACTAGGTAAACTGGAGGATACTAGGTCCTGAAGGGCCCAGATGCCCCTGAATGTATCCTTCTAGACCACAGGTTCTCTTGAATAGTTTTGGGGAAAAGATGTGGCTTGGTATTTTAAAGTGTAGCTCATGAAGTTGTGTGGGGGTCAGGCTGGGGGCATGAAAGAATGAAAGCCAGAGACATTATGTCCTGACACACTTAGAGATGACCTGTGTCCTGACGGACCAGCAACAAGCCCAGATTACACCTTTGACCCTAGAATAATTGCAGCAGCATCCCCTCTCATGCTCCTAAGTGTCTCACATCAAAAGAACTTCCACAATTCTTACCATTACTATGTGAGCTACAATGATACTGTATATTGTATTCTATTTCATTTTATAAAATGTTATTTGCAACCCGTTAAACTAATGTTGTGACACACTGACTGGTTCGTAACTGATTTGAAAACTGACCTAGATACCGCCCAGGTTCTGGGAAAGAGGAAGGAGACGGAAAATTAAATGGTGGTAAGTGGTTTCAGGCCCTAGTTCTGCAGACGCAGCTCTGCTGGCCTCTGCACATAGCTGTGTCCGTTTACTACGTACATCTGCTCGGAAGAGCTGCGACCCTTCGACAGTAATGCATATAAAAGTGTATGTATACTCACAGGGCTGAGAACCACTACCCTCAGGAGTTACGTGACAGTCTGGGGAGGAGCCCGCACAGGGAATGGGTGCATTGCGGGTGAAAGCCCGCGGGTCCCCGGCGAGTCACTGTGATCGGCCTTGGCTGACCTCAGGCCGGAGCAACGGAGCCCGCGCGACCGCCCCACCGTG